GCAATATCCAAACCATGGCTAATTGGAGATATTCATTCTAATAGCCACTGTTAACAGCTACTACTTTCACATTTAGCAACCAAACAAATTGGAATATACTGCTAGTAATATAATGTTACGAGCATATAATGTCAGGTGATGGAAAAATTATGTCATATGTGATGATATTTTACATTTTTCCTTTGAGGAACCATTCCAAACTCTTTGTCGCACACACAAGACTTTGCTCCGTGTTTCATTCATTGATTGTTAGTCCAGAACAAAAAAAAAGGTTGACAAGCTATGAAAATATGTATTTTAAGAAATTGTACGATGATGATTTCTCTGAAAAGTAGAATGTGATTGCTCACAATATCATGGATTTAAATGTCATTAAAAAGTCTAAACCTGTATTTTTTTTTAAAAACAACAGATCTTTCAGTGGCTGGTGCTTTTATTGATTTGAACAGCCATTTAAATCTTGTCAATAACAATAGGGTTTTACAAAAGCCAAGAAGCATCCAGTGTTGCATAAATGGTTGAGCAGTGTACTGAAAATAATCGCACTGGGAGATGTTCAGGTTTTATCTTACCTGCTTATTTTAATTGGACCCAAATTTCTTTGTAATTTAAAATGTAAAACACAAAAACACAACATGCAGGGATAAATATACTGAGCACAATCATCTTTTTATTAAACTCCTAAAGAACAGTTATGGAAAACATGAACTAAAAGAGATATAGTCTAAAAGTTGTGGACGCGACGGAGGGACCCCACAATGGGGTTCATGGCCGCCCACTCAGTGAAGCGGCGGTACTCTCCTCTCTCCAGCAGGTACTGGTGTCCGCGGTAGTTGGGAAGCTCGTAGAAGACCCAGGCACCGTCCTGCACGTGAGCAGAGTGAACCTCGCGGAAGTGCCAGTGTTCGGGCAGGTTGCTCAAATCTTCAGTGAATTCCAACATCTGACCACTGAAGTCAGGACGCTCAAAAATACGAATCCTGAACACACCAGAGGTCTGCAAGACAAGAGGAGCTAAGATAATCTCTGAACAAAGAGTGACCCAGCAGCTCAGATAGCAAAACATAATAAAAAATAAAAAAACTTTGTTGGTATATTATTGTTTTCAGTATATGAGCATGTGAATATGTGTTTTACATTGCAACGGAAGACAAGCTAAGGTTCTCAATTTCTCTTTTTTCACATTTTCTAACGTATTTTCATGAAATATCCAACCTCTACATTTATATACTACTTTATACTTATACTATCATTTGTCTTCCCAATTACTTTTTGAAAGGAACCACCTCCCTATGATATGCATGCAGTGGTGTTTGGGGTGGACAGTTAAACATACAAAGCACAGGATATCATGTGAGAGTTAAAAATAGTGTGCATTACAATTTTAACACTATATCCAATACATTTGGCTCTAAGTTGGATATATCAAAGCTTACAAATATTCCCTGTCAGAAGTATAACGTGGAAGTTGACATGAACACTACTTAAAAGTCAGGAACTCGTCAATATAACTCCAATAAGACATGACTCTGATGAAACCCTTCACCAGCGTTGAGACCAGGGTTTGCATCCTGTGTCCTGCATGTGGTTAAGCTGTAGGCAACAAAAGTATGTTGATTAAAGTTGGTAAGGTAAGATTGTGGTTTAAATTAAATGTTAATTAAGTCTCATCCTCCAAGTCATTTTTGACTTTTCAAAATTTAACCAAGACCAAAATCTTTCCCTGAACCAAACCCTGAATGCCTAAACATAAGCATAAAGAGTTGAATAATGCTTTAGTTGATAATTGACAATTGTTTTGCAAGAGCATTGTCGGATAACACACGATACATTCAGAATCAATTAAATCAATCAAACATTTTCCTTATTATGTTGATGAAAACTTTATCGAGCAGGCATCACCTTCCCCTCTAAATGTTTCTGCTGTTGCAAGTTTAAACATGATCTCTAGGAGACAGGGTTGAAATATTGATGCTAAACATACTGGTGAAGCTGATACTAAAACATTTGTGTGCACCTTCATGAATTTGTCAGGTGCATGTGAAAAGATGCAGAAAGACTCACAAAGTGAATGCCAGAATTATACTGTTGGATTATACAAGGACATCATACTTGTTAGTTCATAAGGATTCTGATATGTTTTCTGAAGGAACTCACGTTTCGGACGATCCGGCAGGACCTGATGCTGTCATTGTATCCCATCCAACGCTGATAATCAGGGTACTCCCCCCTGGTCAGGATGTACTGGTAGCCCAGGTAGTTGGGCCTCTCGAACAGAACCCAGGCCCCGCTCTCCACACGAACAGAGTTGCACCGGTTGATGTGGATGTTGAGTTCGGGACAGTCACTACTGCACTCATAATAGCGACCTTGAAAGTTTTTATCTTCATAAAACACGATCTGGAAGAGAACAATGAGCATTCAGTGGCTATGCTACACTATTATATTGCATATTATAGTATAGCATAGTGTCTATAAAATAACAGCATGCAAACATTTGTCCAAAAGCAACACAGCAAACAATAACAACAAATGTAAGTAAATACATAGTGTAAATACATAGCGGTTGACTATACAATCTGTGCAACAAATCACTTAACTGTAGGAATTTAAGGCAGAATTTCAGTCTGAAGAGGTCAACATGTGGTATAAAGAACAACTTTCATGCAACTCGGTCAGGGAGGGTAAAGTTGTTCTTTATACTGTGTACCGGAGTGACGCTAGAGTTTTGACCTCTTCCAACTCTTCTAACAAATCAAATAATCCAGATATGTGGTCGCAAGCATCATCTGCGTGTCTGCCTACCTTTCCAACACGGTCCATGTTTGGGCCTCACACCAACGTTTGATAACCGTTTGTTAATCTCACCTTTCACATACACAATATTGCCTACAGGCCTAGTCCAGATTTATATATACAGTGTATGTGGGCTCACTGAAATGCACTGCCAGGGCCATCATTGTCATTTTAATTGCCTCAGCATTTAAATCTGCACAATGGCTGATGCTGCAATTGTTTTAAAAAATGCCCAGCTCTACACAGTGTTTACTCACTATCGCAACGGCTGACCTTTTGATCTGTCAATGCCTGATTCCAGAAGCGATTTATTGATCCAATTAAACTGTCTCCTCTGTAGCTGGTACTGAGGCTGATGAGGTGAAGTTGGCTGTTGGCCACAGAGTACTGTGGTGCAGGCTGTAACATCTGTGTTGCAGGAAATATGTGTATTCAGTCTGTCATGCTCCACCCTCTGTCTGCATCCACACCTCAGTACACAGTCAGCTGACAAAGGCTCATTATTCAGTATTTACAGATGCTGAATGTGTTTACAGCCAGTGAACAGCATGATTGATTACTCGAAGCACTATTGCACTTGTTGTCTACAAATATTGATTTTTGTTTATGGCTGTGTGTACGTGTTTACTTTTTTGTGAGCGTGCATGTACACTGAGAGTATTAAAACCGGAGTCAAATTCCTTGTATGTGTACACATACCGGGCCATTAAAGGTGATTCCGATTCTGAAGTGTGCAAAATATATACACTGTCGTTTGTTCTTGTTGAGCTTGTTGTCATGTGTGTATGCTTGTTTTGCGTATATACACAGTAGTAAAAGGAGAGCACAGTCACCCCACCCGGATTCAAACCCAGGTCTACACAGTTTCAAACATGCAACTTGGAACACAACGTCAAAGAACCAGGCTCATTGGTATGGTAGTCAGAACGCATACTCACATACACTAAGGGTAATGTATAAACAGAGTCACATACCTGACAATTAAAGGTGATTATGGTTCTGATTCTGAGGCGTGGAAAAATTCTTGCTAGATTAGTATTGTCAAATTTAAAAAAAAAATTACTGGAATATGTCCTAGGTGACTGCACATATTGTGTTGAAATTCTTAGTCGTAAATCCATCATTCCGAACAACAGAACATTTACCAATTAATGATTTTGAGAAATTATTAATTGTTCAATTGTTTTTCAAGCAAATATGTCAAACATTTTATATTTTCTGCATCTCAAATGTGAGGATTAGCTGTCACACTACATATATGCATATACTGAATATCTTTGGGTTTTGGACTGTTGGTCAGACAAAAGAAGCACTTTGAAGGAATTACTTACTTATTACTGGGCAATAGGATGTTCTATAGGCCTATTAATCAATTAAGTGAGAGAATAACTTGCAGATTTCTCAATAATTCAAAAAATAATAATTTGTTGCACAAATATTTTACATGTCTGGATGACTGTGGCTGTGTCCTTGTGCTCTTTGAAGATTTGTTACACTCCTAATTGTAATATTAAAACAAAACCAAGGAAGACTTTTTGTATTGATGTGTTGTGGGTAAGATACAATTCAAATCATTACAACTTAATTCATCCCTGTAAGGGTTAATGTTCCCATCACAGCGCATAACAGACCTGATTCTTTAAACATGTACGATGATACAGAAATTCTATTTAAAGCACTTGTAGTCAAGTTTATTGTTTGTATTCAGGCAGAAATCTTTCAAATTCCCACAATTTTGTGTAAAGACAATTTGCATGAGAAGTCTCTGGCAATCACTGTGATAAAAATGGTAATCATAAAAGAGCCTTCCGTCCTGTAATCACTACAATATTCATATCAATGAGGGCAGACTACATGTTAGAAACAACCCTCAGTATAATTAAATTAAATGCATCACAAGCTACATCCTCAAAAATTGCGTAAAAGCTGACTTAACACCTCTCTTAAACAAAAACTAAACATCATATTATGATAAATAAGTTGGAGTATTGCTGACTACATTGTTTTTTGTTTTTGCGGGATGACATACTGTACCTTTATTGCCAAAATGCATAATTAATTGAATTATGTTATCATTCATTTCTCTTTATTTTTCATGATGAAAGTCATGAAGTTTCAATATGAAAAAAATACACAGGTACAAACAAACATTAGCATCAAAGAAATTTATTGCAATGCATCACATTACAACAAACTTTAACTGGTTGAATTTCACAGCTGCATGATTCTTCTGACGGAGCCCACAGTTGCTTTCGGAGCTCCCCACTGTGAGTGATGTGGGTACCCCCCTTTCTCCAGCAGGTACTGGCGACCACAGAAGTTGGGATGTTCAAAGAAAACCCAGGAACCCTCAATGACCTTGCAGGACTGGACTTCATTTCTGAGCCATTTCTCCTGGAGAGACTTCATGTTGTCTGTCAACTCCAAAGATTGGCCACCAAAGTTTGGCCGGTCAAACAGCTTCAACATGTATGGCCCTTTGGCCTGAAACCAAAACAGTCAAAGAAATGGGTTTAATTTGATGTATGAGGAAGCGAGTGTGTTTATTTTTTCTTGTTTATTTTTGTTGTGGCACTTGGTGACTTACAGTTTTGATGATCTTGCAGGATCTGACACAGTCATTGAAGCCCATCCAGCGGCGGTAATCATTGTACTCCCCTGGACCAATGATGTACTGGTAGCCCGTGTAGTTGTTACGCTCGTACAGAACCCACCAGCCACCTTCTACCTTGACTGAGTTGCATCGGTGGATGAAGCCCTGCAGGTCAGCAGAGTCCCCTTTGCAGTCATAGGACTTTCCCTGGAAGTCCCGGTCCTCATAGAACACAATCTGGAAAGAATAGGTAAAGACAGGTTTATACACTTAACTATACACTTAATAAAAAGAGGGAAGAAGGAACACATTTAGAAATTTGTATATTCTCACCTTCTCCATCTGTGGTGCTTAAAATACTAGATGCCGTAACAAATGCGGTACTCTTTATACATGGCAGAGACAATACTACCAGCACATGGTTAGCAGTGCATGTAACAATTCAAATATTCATCTAGAGTCTGCCCATTGTTCTTACTCACTGAATTGCTTATCCAAACACAATGGATGTTTAGCAGTGCCAAGTATCTAAACCTGAATCACTGCTCAATCCAAACTGATCTGAACCGTTGCCATAAATCTGTTTCTTTTGTGCAATTTTACGTAAGCTATGAACTGATGGAGAGACACAGAAGCAGCAGTTTTATTCCCAGAATTGGGTTAAATCTAATTCCTTCTCATTTAAGAAAGTAAGTCCACTGTCCAGAAGAAGTTATGTGGGCTTGATTATTCTAAAGCAACATGTGTAGACAATATTCCAGCAAGATTTTGAATGATGCAGCTAAAATTATAACACCCCATGTCAAACACATCATCAACCTATCTCTGGTACAAGTTGCATTTCCAAATGAAATGAAGGCTGCTAGGTTTTATTCCGTTATTCAAGAAAGGAAATAAATTAGATCACAGTAATTACAGACCAGTGTCAATTTTATGTAGTTTATCTAAAATTCAATTTTCAATTCAATTCAATTCAATTTTATTTATATAGCACCAAATCACAACAACAGTTATCTCTGAGCGCTTTTTATAAAAGAGCAGGTCTAGACCATACTCTGTGATGATATTTACAGAAACCCAACAGTTGTTCATAGAGAAGAAAATCCTAGAGAAGACAGTGATTGAGCAAATATATTGTTATATTTCCTCACATAATCTACTCTATGAGTTTTAGTACAGATTTAAGAAATATCATTCTACTGACTCGTGTGCTCAATCTGACTGATTACATTAGAAAAAAAATCAATGGAGGTAATGGTGATATTACACCTTTAAAACGCATTTGACACCATTAATCACTCACTCACTTTAGTGATCAGTCATCAAATAGATAGGTTCTTATCTCAAAGTACAAATGGTAAATGTTTTTCCCGTCCTAAAATACTAGAGTGTGGCGTTCCCCATGAAAGCGTCCTAGGGCTTCTTTTTGTTCCTGCTGTACAAAAATGACTTAAAATCAGCATGTTCATGTGATCTATTTCTCTAGGCAGACGATTCAAACTTACTTATGTTGCAAAAGGATAAAAGTATGATTGAAAAAACCCTAAAGTCAGAGCTTACATTGGTGGATAGCTGGCTAGTGACAATAAGCTATCTCTCCATCGTGGCTGTTTTAGTCTAGGCATTGTTTAAAGAAGCCTGAAGCCTTTGATGTATATTAGATAGCATCCGTTTGTTGGCTAGGATTTTTACATTTTTGGACTTAACTATGTCTGCTGTGCTTGGTATGATGGTGTTCCAAATGCAGTCAAAATTAAACTTCAATCGTCATAGAGCAAGCTTGTCAGAATTGTTCTACCATTATAAGTTTTAGTCTTTGTCACTTACTGGAAATTGTTCTTTTCGTTTTGCTTTGTTTTAGTCAAGATTTTGTCAGTAGACCTCTTTAATCGTAGTCTAACTTCAGTCAAAGTCTCATAATTATCATACGCTGTGGTACTGATTTTGCTGAAGGATTTTCTAGCTTTCTTTCAAAAGTAAACATACCTTAAAATATGTGTTTCAATTATCCAGGATGAGAATGTATCATGGACTTAGCCTAATCTTCTTTCTTCTGACCTGGCTTGAGGTCCCACTCCTTTGTAAAGACTAACTAATTTCCGTTGCATTGCATAGCCAAAGCAGAAAAGGTTTTGACCTGTACAGCATAATCTAGGTTCTCTCTTGTCTGCTGAAAGAGGGCATGAAATTTCGTCTGATTTTTCTTGTTAGTGCGCAATGACTTAGGATTTATTTGCAATTTGCATTGTAAGATATTTTTTTATTTACATTGTCGTTACAATTAAGTAATGTAAAAAAGGTCGTCAACAAAATTTAAAAAATTTAGTCAAACTTTTTGTTGGCAAAATTAACACTGACAATACTGAAGATTTTCTTAGGGTATGTGCCCAGTTATCTTACTGGAGTTTGTACTCTGCAGATCTAAAACACTTGCTAGATAGATAAAATTTCTGTACTCAGCAGCTGTTCTATGGAGAAAGCTATCCATAATTAATTAAGAAGGAAATTCAAGGTTCAAAACCACTGTAGGCACAGGTTGAATTAAATTATCTCATATACTGCTGGTATGTGTTGTGGCAGGATCTAACCATTTTGAGTATTTATTGTTTTTCCTTATTATGCTGTATGAAGTGTCTCTGTTATGTAGTATTTAGTTTTTTTGAATGTATGAGCCTTCAAATTCATCATTTGCTGGCATCCTTCTAAGCCCACCCATCAAAGACCGCAATGGAAATAAGCATACTAGCTGTCTTGTACATGGAGCCCATAAAATGTATTTAATTTTTTTTATTGTTGAATAAAATCAGTCAGTCAATCACTCAATGACACTGGTAACATAAACATATCTAAAAACAACAAAAAACTAAAACTCAAACACTTTCCTAAACAAAAGTAAATTAATCAAAAGAACACAAAGAAAATACTGTAGACCTATTTTTGTTTTTGTAAGAATTTTACATGAGTTCAGTTTTTGACTATTTTTTTGTAATGTCTTTTGCACAACCATTTAAATTTAGGTCATTTGGGGTTGTATGTTGACAGGATCATCTTAAGACACAGGACACCAATCTTAAGAAATAATGATTAACATAAATATAATAAATACTATATATAACTATAAAGTATTCATATCAAGCAAGGACTTCAGCCATTTTTTAACTCACCAGGACAAATTTAGAAACTGATTTATCATAAAGTATTTGCACTGTAATAAATGCAGTCCACCTGTTTGGGCCACCGAAACGTCTGTATGTCATTGATGATATAATTATTACGATACAAAATAAAAATCTTCCCTCACAGTTAAAAAGACCAGTATTGCCGAATAGCCTAGATTCGTCATCCTTTATGACCTTTATATCTTATTCATTAAGAATTAAACTGAATAGTTAAAAGATAATAGTTTCAGCATTCCAGCCCGGGGCCCTTTTCTCTCTCTCTCTCTTTCTCTCCCCCACTTTTCTGTCTCTCTTCAGCTGTACCCATCTATTAAAGGCAAAAAATATTTTGCAACAAGGTATTTTTACTGGTACAGATACAAGACATACTACAAGTTTCTGTTGTGTGCATGAATAATAATTTTTAACCTGATATTATGAAGTTGCGAGGTCTATACATTACAAATCAGGATCTGTGCAGACATCTTTGTGGCTCACTAGCAGGCAATATGTTAATGTTGAACTAATAATGTCTTCTTTCAACAATTTTGTAAATTAATTTTATCAGTTATCTTGCACTTGCAAATGTCTTATGATGTAATACCTGTGCCTGCCGATGTTTAGTATGATCTGATGTCAGTCTGTCTTGAGATGTAAATGGTGTCAATCAATGTTACTGGTGCGCACTAGAAGACAAGACTAAAAGCCTTTGAAGTGTGAGGTAACATAATAAGAAAGAATCAGACAATACTGTCGTGAGTAAGAAATACTTTTATTCATTTGAGTGCAACACTCAGGGTTCTGGGGAGAGGACAAATTTCCAAATGGAAAAAGCAGTTGGGAAGCTGCAGGGTTCTCGAATCTTAGCCTCCAGGGACTCTGAACCTCCTGAGATTGTTCTAGAGCTTCCTCAAGATAGGATTCTGGAACATTGAATTTTTAAATTTGAAATTTGCCATAGGTCTTTGGAACTCATGTTCTGAAACTGATTTTCTTTAGAACTCTAGAACTTTGGTGGCCTAATGCACTCAAATAACTCTTTTAGGGGCTGGAGAACCCTGGATGGTCGCTGTTGTTCTAGAACTCCGTGATCATGCGGAAGGATCCGGCAGCAGGGGAGGTGGCGCCCCAGTCTGTATAGTTGTGGTACTCGCCACGTTCCAGGAAGTACTGGTGTCCGCGGTAGTTGGGCTGCTCGTAGAGGATCCAGGCACCATCTATCACCACGCAGGAGTGGAACTCCCCAAACTTGAAGGCCTCGTAAACCGATGGGCAATCCTCAACACACTCTAGAGCTTGGCCGGCAAAATCCTTCTTGTCATAGAATCGGATCTTCCAGGACTTCCCATAAACCTATGAAAGAGTAAGAGAATTGAAGTTGATGAAATTAATTTAGTATTTAGTATCTGAATTATTTTATCTATCCTTTTCTTTCCTAGTTTTCTTTCAGCTCACATCTGCAAATGGGTTTCTTGGCTGTTTTCCTGGGTTCCTTCAATAATTGATGTGCATGGGCATGGACATAAAACACCCTGCTGCCAAATCATGAGCCTTTTATCTCTCCTTTTTCTCTGTTGGCCTTTGACTGATTACTGCTTGGTTGGTGCACTCTGTGGTATTTCACTGGAGCTGGGCACACTACGAAACTGGTGCATTAACAATATTATTACATGAATAAGACCATCATTACTTAAGGATGACTTTTAAAAGCTTTGTAACCTGTTGGTTATGTTCTAAAAAGCATCTATTGGTTATTGAGCTCACATTTTTGATAGAGCGACATGACTTGATGCTGTCATTGAATCCCATCCACTGCTGGTGATCAGCGTATTCCCCGGGGCTCAGGATGTACTGGTTGCCAGTGTAGTTGGGACGCTCATACAGCACCCAGCAGCCACTCTCCACCTTAATGGAGTTGCAACGGCTGAAATAAGAGCGCAGGTCAGGACTATCAGTGCTGCACTCATAGCTTCGGCCTTGGAAACTCTTATCCTCGAAGAATGCAATCTGGATGGAAGGAAACAGAGACAAAGCCTGGTAAACTATCATACCAACATTGCCAGGGTATCATTAAATTTACAGCAAAGTAGACATGAGAACGTTTACATGCACTACATAGTCACTGCCTGAAAGATCTTGAAAACCTTTAGAAAATAGCATTTGCTCCTTACCTTCCCCATTGTTAATGATATTGCTTGCCTCCCACCCAGCTGCAGCAGTGTTGTGGTTTATATTGAGATGCAGAATGTGCAGACGAGGGAAAGCTATTGTCATCTAAATTAGCTTGATTTGCATATCAGCAAAATGGTTTGTACAAGTTTGATTTCCCTTTGTCCACATGTGATGGCCTCATATCCAAGAAGTGCCAAAACTGACATGTAAAACTTATAAAGGCCAACAACCATACTCAATGATAATTGTTTGGATTGTTTCCATTGAGTTCTGCCCTATCAAATGATCATTTATTTGTTATTTGGTTTCCATCAGTGGTTCTTTTTTTTTTTTGAGATAAGCAATTAATTGGTAAATTGTCTTCATTTTGCTTTTTTACAAGAAGAGAATTTAGAATATGATCATGAGGGGAAGGGGAAATGTAGTATTTTATTCCTGGACAATGATTGGGACTGCAATGTCTCATCTTTAATTCCAATATTTCATACATGTTGTTATTGCTAGCAATGCACCAGTGTTTTAATTTATTCAGGAGACCAGATTTTTTGTTGGTTGTTATTAGGTGAGCAACAGCATGCATGCAAAATGAAATGAAAACAAAACTAAGAAAATACCAAACTCAACAAGCAAATTAGATTGATTGGTTTTAACTTTGTTTTTTGGGCTCTTTCCTCTCTGTTTGAGACTTTAATGCCATGACACATTATGGAGGGCACCTAAGGTCTTAATGCATTATGGAAATGTAAGGATTTAAAGAATCTGTTTCATTAAACTCAACATTTCCATAATAACAGTGATTTTTCTATCCAAAGTGCAGTGCCACCTCCTCAGAAATGAACTCACAGCAGACATTCAGATTTGCCCTAGCAGGGAAAGCACAGGTGTAAATAATAACATTAATAAGGACCTTGTTAAGTGGAGTGCAGCCAACACCTGTGTTTAAGTCCAAACATCTGCAGGGAGAAAGTCTATTTGAGATTTGAGTCATTCATAAAAAGCTGAATAAAGCTGGTGTTTTATTGTTTATATGGACTTTTGCTTGGTTGACAATGGAGGAAAACAGGATGTATAGTATAGAAGCTTAACATCATTACTGCCAACAGCAAAAGACTGACCCTGACTGTATCGTAACTTCCTTCAGACTAGTCTTTTAAACTGAAAGTCAAAGCCAGTTGAAACAAAGACATACATATGGTGCACAGCAATGGGGCTTTTTCACAGAATTCCTTTTGACATGTCACAGTAGGAAAAAGCACAGGCAAAAATGAATGATGGCTGAATTCCATTTAGCTGCTTCAGTTTCAGGGTCCTGGTACTGTGCTTGCTGACTCACTGTCATGCTGTTATGGTTTACTGGGACAGACAAGAGCCACTGTTAATGTTTCTAATAACAACGGCGTTTTTCCTGCTATGACAAATCAAAATATCTGATGTGAAAAAGGTGTCATAAAAATATTGATAGAAGTATAAGCCCCGCATAAAACAACTGACTGAAAAGTACTTTACTCATACCGACCTTTGCGAGCTGTTGCAAATACTGTTAGCAAAAGATACTGAGTTAATCTAAATGTATTATTTATAGACCAATACACACAGTTTTGCCTTGTATATAATTCACAGTAAAGTGAAAGGATTTTTTTTTTTTTGCAGAGAGAGGAGGAAAATGATGTTACTAGGCACCAGATGCATTGGGATCCACATTAAGGGATCAGAAATAAACAAAGGCTGTTTACCAAAATATTCTCTAATGTATTGTAATTAAACTTAGCTTCTCCTTGTCACTCTAATCATTCCCATTCTGAGAAATGCAAAAACTGCAGCCAGTTCTTCTCCCTCCTCTCCTGCCTTGTGTCTTCCACCCATTTCCCCTCCCTTTGTTCTGGATCATGATGGCACAAATAAAATTAACAGCGATCGCAGAGCTGCTTATTCATCAGCTTCCACATAATTTAAATAACAAAACCCTGTTACAGCGCGTATAAAGTATAAAAGCCGCCTGGCAGCCACTGGTTGTTGGACAGATTCCCACAAACACAGATCATCAAACATGGGCAAGGTATGTAGAGAGTAGAGAACAAGAACTATTCTGTGCAGGACAAACTCGGCAGACACAAAATGTAAACAAGTGAAAAAAACTAAAAGAGAGGGACATGAAACAATATAAGCTTACAAAAGTACATTTTAAAATGGACAAATTAAGACCTGTTCCAAATCATTTTATACTGTCTGAATTCTTCTTTTCAACAGATCATCTTCTACGAGGACAGGAACTTCCAGGGTCGCTCCTATGAGTGCATGAGCGACTGCTCTGACATGACCTCCTACCTGAGCAGGTGCCACTCCTGCAGGGTGGAGAGCGGCTGCTTCATGGTCTACGACCGTCCCAACTACACGGGAAACCAGTATTTCCTGAGGAGAGGAGAGTACGGCGACTACATGTCTTTTGGCATGAGTGATTCTATCCGATCCTGCCGTTTAATTCCTCTGGTATGCAAGGAATTTGAAAAGATAAACTTATTACAACTGAGAACTCATATCCGAGTTATCTTTAATGTCTAATCAATAGAAAATGTAGTCAGAATAGTCAAATCCGTTGCTAATTTGCTGTGTTCTATTGAGAAAGACCAAATTGTTAAAAAATAGCATGGCAGACTCAGTAATAAACACATTTTAGTGTTAACAGCAGCCAAATCACAGTCTAAAGTCTAAAGTCCTATGCTGACTTGTCCTCCTCTGTGTATTCATCAACAGCACAGAGGCCAGTTCAGGATGAAGATCTATGAGAGGGAGAACTTCGGTGGTCAAAGTCATGAGCTGATGGACGACTGCGACAACATCCAGGACCGTTACCGTATGTCCGACTGCCAGTCCTGCCACGTGATGGACGGCCACTGGCTGATGTACGAGCAGCCCAACTACAGAGGCAGGATGATGTACCTGAGGCCCGGAGAGTACAGGAGCATGAAAGATGTGGGATACAGCGGCATGAGGGTCAGCTCTGCCAGGCGTATAATGGAGTCCTGTTGAAGCAGAGAAAAAGAAATGAGTTGTTGAATAAAATGAAAGTGGAATCAAACGTCACCTTGTCATTGTGTTTTCCGTATATGAAATAGAAGACAAGTTATTTTTGTGTGTCTGTGAGGGTTAACTCTGCACAACTGGTCTGTAAAGTGAGCTACTATTTTCACCCGTCACAAATTGTATGGCAGTGTTACAACTTTAATGTACAAACTCCAAATTACACACCTGCCAGTGAGTTATAGCTAAATACAGAAAAATACAGACTGTAGTTACATTATACATCCTGTATTATGAGGTTACATACAAACCAAATCTTTTAATTCACCATGATGAAAATATTCTCTGTGTGTGCATCATCTTGCTCTGCAATGATCATAAATCTAACAAATATACTCCAAAACAGGTGTAAGTCAGGCTCAATTTATTTTTTTTATATCGACTGTTAAAACAGTTGACACACAGTTAGATAATATGAACACACAATGCACATACACTCACTGGCCACTTAATAAGCATTCAGAACTGCCTTAATTCTTCGTGGTATACTTTCAATGTCGGAAACATTCCTCAGATACTTTGGTCCATATTGATATGATAGCATCGCGCAGTTGCTGCAGATTTGTCGGCTGCACATCCATGATGTGAATCTCTTGTTCCACCACATCCTAAAGGTGCTCTATTGGATTGAGATCTGGTGACTGTGGAGGCCACTGGAGTACAGAGAACTCACTGTCTTGTTCAAGAAACCAGTTTGAGATGATTTGAGCTTTGTGACATGGTGCAACAATACTCAGGTAGGCTGTCGCGTTTAAACAATACTTAATTGGTACTAAGGGGCCCAAAGTGTGCCATGAAAATATCCCCCACATCGTTGCCTTTCTGTCATCTAAAACCAGTCTGCCCATTCTGGTCTAACCTCTGACATCAACGAGACATTCTCAACTGCCGCTCACTGGATATTTTCTCTTCTTCGGACCATTCTCTGTAAACCCTAGAGATGGCTGTGCGTTAAAAATCCCAGTAGATCAGCAGTTTCTGAAATACTCAGAGCAGGGTTAGGTAAAGGGTTAGGTTTAGGGTTACTTAAATCCCCTTTCTTCCCCATTCTGATGCTTGGTTTGAACTTCAGCAAGTTGTCTTGACCATGTCTACATGCTTAAATACATTGAGTTGTTGCCATGTGACTGGCTGATTAACTATTTGTGTTAACAAGCAATTGAACAGGTGTACCTAACAAAGTGGCTGGTGAGTGTTTTATACATGCAACTGTCTACATTATGTGTAAGTAACTAAATTGGGCAGTCACACTGCTTTGTTGCAAAGATGTTTTAGCGTGTAACTCTTAAAGGGGACTGCCACCAGTTTTATATATAAAGTTCAGTTTACCGCTCAGCTTGTGAACACACAGTTATGTACTGTCTTCTGTGGCCCTGAAGTAGTTATGTGTGAAATTGTGAGAAAATAACCCCTAATGATGTCAGCAGGACATCACCAGCTGGGGACACATCAGAAAATGTGTGACTCAGCATTTTTTGGCCAATACTGGGGACTAAATGCCAGGATATATCAGCTTCTGCTACTTTGATCTTTCTTCTAATCTGCCTCTTGTGAGTCCCCCAACTTTACAAAAGTACAACACTAAATTGCTGGATTACACCTTTAAAAGTAGTCAGTGAGCCACTGTGAGAATGAGTTAACGTGCATTGGTATCTGTCCTATGTATATGAGAGCATGTGATGTGTTGCATGGTAGTATGTTTTGAGAGATGTCTGTTTTTGTGTTGTTTTTGCAAAGCTGCAGAACGACTCCAAAACATAAAACATATCTTATCTTATCTGATAAAAGGGGTTTTCAATGTCTGTGAATATATTTTCACCTTGGAACTGGCTCAGCGTCATTCAATCTCCAGACAATAAATCAATGTCACTTTGAACAACAAGCAACAGACATTCAGATCACAAATTGTTACAGTAAAGAGCAACAAATACATGCTAAATCCTTCAAAATATTAGTGTGAATATTGCCATACAACATATTGTGTACTTGTACAAAACACAACTTATCTGACAGAGAGGGCACATGTCAAGGCAGTATTCAAATCCTTTATTTAAGAAAAAGTAACAAAACCACAAGTAAAAATACTAGTAAAAGTCCTGAAATGTAAATGTTTCTTAAGTAAAAGTACTCAAGTATGATTAGCAAACTGCACTTAAAGTATCTAAAGTTAAAGTAACTTTCTTCTTTCAAAACCAGAGTAACAAGATGTTTCACAGCTGCACAGAAATAACAAGTACAGTAAATGTGAAAAATGGCCCTGTTGAGCATTATACTATTATGCATTATATTATTGGATCATTCTTACCAATGCATTAATGTGTAAGTATAATTTGAAACTGTTGTAGCGGTCTGAACTAATTTTGTTTCATAAACCTTTGGGTTGTCTATAAAAATGTGTCATATTTTATAAGCTACATATGTGAAAATTTGAATTTGTAAAGTAAATGTGGATATTAATTGCATGCAGTGAAGCAAAAAGTAAAATATTTCCCTTGGAAATCTATTGGAATAGAAATTTAAAGTAGCAGAAAATGGAAATGCAGTACCTCACGTTTATATTCAACTACACTACTTAAGTAAAAGTACTTTGTTTGTTACCTTGTTAGTGAACTGTTGAACTCAATCAAAAGACAAATACATCATTTTATGTATCCAGATGATGCACTAATGATGTGAATGTGACAAAGTGCTTGTCACCACAGAGCTAACACTGACAGCACAAAGAGTCCCAGCTGATGCATTTGCTGCTGTCACCCACCTGTACCCCATAGGACAGCCACTGCAGTTGGCACTTTACCAGATGCATACAGTCTGGAATAATAACCATTTACAGACCGATTTAACAAACATGATGGCCCTGTATGCTAGCCTGCTGAGTAAGATATTCAAAACAATGGCTCCATAGATCATTTAGCTATCATGTTGGGTATAAAAGTAACAGAGAGTTTGGCTCGGCAAAGTACCAGTGCAATCAGGGGTTAGGATCGAACACCAAAATGGGCAAAGTAAGGGACCATTTTTATGTAGTAATTTAAACACTTTTAACACAACATTTTAGACATGTGCTGTTAATGTATAATGTACTATCTTTTATTTTTAGATCATTTTCTACGAGGACAAGAACTTCCAGGGTCGCTCCTATGAGACCAGCAGCGACTGTGCTGAGCTGACCTCCTACCTGAGCCGCTGCAACTCCTGCAGGGTGGAGAGTGGCTGCTTCATGGTCTATGAACGTCCAAACTACATGGGTCACCAGATGCTGGCGAGGAGGGGAGAGTACCCTGACAACCAGCGCCTGATGGGAATGACCATGAGTGACTGTATCCGTTCCTGCCGCATGATCCCAATGGTATGAAGCTCTCTGTTCTGCTCTCATGTGTGTAAGGTCAAGGATACAAACATAAGCCTTAATTAAAAACCCTCCGACACAGCACAGAACCACCTTTGACTGTCTCTTCACATGTCATTTACAGCACAGAGGTCCTTTCAGGATGAGGATCTACGAGAGAGAGAACTTCCAGGGCCAGAGTCATGAGCTGATGGACGACTGCGACAACATCCAGGATCGCTACCGTATGTCCGACTGCCAGTCCTGCAATGTGATGGACGGCCACTGGCTGATGCACGAGCAGCCCCATTACAAAGGCAGGATGATGTACCTGAGGCCCGGAGAGTACAGGAGCATGAGAGACATGGGAATGGGTCCCATGGACATGAGGATCGGATCCATCCGACGTATCATGGAATCCTGTTAGAGAATAGAACGGGCTCTAGATTTGAAAATGTAATCAATAAATATTAATAAAGAATTTATCAATTTATCATTCATGTTGAGTTTCAAAACATCGGCTAGTGAGCTGGGAGTAAATTTTGAGCGCCATCACGAAATTGGAGAGAAAATAACAGTATTCAGCTGTTCCTGTATGTCAAAGGACAGTTTGGGCTGCATCCCATAGTCAGGTCAAGACTTCTTCTTCTTTTACCTATGAAATGTGTTATGTCATATATGATGCATGTGACATTAAAACTTTATTTCAAAGGATAAAAATGATAGCTGTGAGATTGTGCATGATTTACCTTTAGTTTCCTGAAATGATAAATAGATACATGATACAATATACTTTATTTAAGTGTTCGAAAACACAGCAAATAAATAGAAAAATTGTTTGAGGAAGACAGGCAGGTGTTTTATTAGCGTGTCAATACTTAAAATACTTAAAATGTCACAATTCCAGTAACACTTAGTAGTATAAAGGACATTGTTATTGGCCCGTTTCACAGCACACATTGCAGGAAAATTACAGGGGGAACAATGCTAACAATGGCTACCAGGCTCTGGTTTGTGCTTGTTGGCTCACTGAGACAATACAGTAAATAAAGTGAAAAAGTGGGAATTTCATACCAAAAAGACTGCAACTTTGGAAGATAACTGGCTGATGTGATTGACTCAAGACTGCTAAAGCTTTATATTAAATGCATATAAATTCTGGATTGTGTTTTTACACAGAGTGAGGAGCTGTGGATTTTTGTACCCCATCTTTTACATTGGAATCATGTTACTGTCAAGGGACAAAACAAAAACAAAAACTTGAACAAAGTCACCATTAATGTTGTCAATTTACCTGTGCTTTTCCTGTTATGACCAGTCAACGGTGAATTGTCAGGTCAATGCATTTCAGCTTGTGGCCTTTGTCAGGGGTCATCATACCAAACATATTAAACTAAAAATATCTTATGGCTTTTCTCACTAAATTCAAATGTCCCGCAGTGTCGGTTCCTCTGCCCTCCAGCACATCTGTTAAACAGGGATCCATGTCACCACACAGTACACTTTAGTGAACTGAAATATCCCTGCATACTAAACCTTTTAAGTTGTCGATTACATTTTACACAATATGCAGAATAAACAAAAAATAAGTAGAATGAACCATATTGAACCAAATTTGTATAATGTATGTGTATGTTTGTGTAAACATTCAAAAATG